AGCCCCAGCCACAGCTCCAGCCTCAGCTCTAACCCCAACTCCAGCTGCAGCCCCAGCCTGAGCCCCAGCCCCAGCCCCAGCTGCAGCTCCAGCCCCAGGCCCAGATACTTCTGAGATAACAGGCCCAAACCCAGCCACCGCCACGGCCTCAGCCCCAGCTGCAGCCACAGCTTCAGCCCCAACCTCAGCTGCAGCCGCAGCCTCAGTCCCAACCTCAGCTGCAGCCCCAACTGGAGTTGCAGGCACAACTGGAGCCACAGCTATAGCTGGCACCGCAGCCACAGCTGGAGCCACAGCCACAGCCGGAGCTGGAGCCACAGCTGGAGCCACAGCCACAGCCGGAGCCGGAGCCAGAGCCGGAGCCACAACTGGAGTCGCAGCCACAGCCGGAGCCACAGCCACAGCCGGAGCCACAGCTGGAGCCGGAGCCACAGCTGGAGCCGCAGGCACAGCCGGAGCCACAGCCACAGCCACAGCTGGAGCCACAGCCACAGCTGGAGCTGCAGCCACAGCTGGAGCCACGGCCACAACTGGAGCCGCAGCTATAGTTGGAGCCGCAGCCACAACTGGAGCCACAGCTACAGCTGGAGCCATTGCCACAACCGGAGCTACCGCCACAACCGGGCCTGCAGCTATAGCTGGAGCCTCAGCCACAGCCGGAGCCACAGCCACAGCCACGACAGGAGCCGCAGCCACAGCCGGAGCTGCAACCACAGCTGCAGCTGCAGCCTCAGCTCCAACCCCAACCACAGCCTCAGCTGGAGTTGCAGACACAGCTTCAGTCAGAGCAGGAGCTACAGTTACGGACACAGCCTCAGCCACAGGTCCGGGTACAGCCCCAGCCTCAGCCTCAGCCCCAGCTGCAGCCGCAGCTGCAGACGCAGCCTCAACTCCGGCTGCAGCCACAGATGCAGGCTCAACTCCGGCCTCAGCCTCCACACGGGAACTGATAAAAGCTGCCCCCTCAGATCCGATCCAGGACCCAAGACTGGCCTTATTCTCAGTGTCAAACCTAGAACTGGTAATGGCCTCTTCCCCAGTGCCTGATCTAGATTCAGAACTGGCCCCATCCTTAATATCAGATCTAGGCACAATAATAGCCCCTTCTCCTGTCCAGCACCAAGTTCCTATAAGAGCCTCACTCCCGGGCCCAAACCAGAATCCTTCATTGGCCTCCACCTCAGCACTGACCAGGAACCTTCCACTCGTCTGGTCCTGAGATCTGTTCCAGGACCCTCCACTGGCCTGCTCCTCAGTTCCTAGCCTAGACTCTACACTGGTCTCATTCTCGGGCCTAGATCCAGCCCAGGATTCTCCATTGGCCTGGGCCCCAGTCCCAGCCCAAGATGTTCCACTGATCTGATCCCCAGTACCAACCCAGAATCCACCATTCGACTGATCTGCAGGCCCTGGCCTAGACCCTCCAATGACCTGGCCACCAGCCCCGGCCCAGGGATCTCCTCCACTGGACTGATCCTCAGGCCCTGGCCTGGACCCTCCGCCAGCCTGATTCCCAGTACCAGCCCAGAACCCTACGGCAATGGCCTGATCCTCAAATTCAGATTTGGAACAGCCACCAGCCTGATTCCCAGTCCAGGATCCTCCACTGACTTGACCCCCAATACCAGCCCAGGACCCACCACTAGACTGGTTTGTGGGCCCCAGCCTAGATCCTCCAGCATCCTGGCCAGCAGCCTCACCCCAGGGCCCTCCTCCATTGGTCTGACTCCCAGTGTAAGCACAGAACCATCCACTGGCCTGGTCCCCAGTGCCAGCCCAGGAATTTCCAGTGGGCTGGTCCACTGGGTTGGGACCAAGCCTAGATTCTACACCAGTCTGGTCTCTAGCATCAGGCCAGGATCCTCCTCCATTGGCCTGATCCTCAAACACAGGCTGTGCCCCACCAGCAGCCAAATCCTCAGTCCCAGCCTGGGACCCTCCAGTGGCCTGGTCTACAGCCGCAGCCAAGAACCCTCCACTGATTTGGTCCCCAGAGTTTGCCCAGGACTTTCCACTGGACTGATCCTCTGGTCCCGACTTAGACCCTCCAGTAGCCTGGCCACCAGCCCCAGACCAAGAACCTTCTTCACTGGCCTGATTCTCAAATCCAGGCTTAGATTCGGCACCAGACTGCTCACTAGTCTCAGCCCAGGCCCCTCCGCCAGCCTGGTTCCCAGTGTCAGGCCAGGACACACTACTGGTCTGGTCTACAGGCCCCAACCTGGACCCTCCACTGGCCTGGCCACCAACCACAGCCCAGGGACCTTTTTCACTGGCCTGATCCTCAAACATGGGCTTGGCCCCTGCAACAGACTGATCCCCAGTCCCAACCCAGGACCCTCCACTAGATTGGTCCACAGCCCCAGCCCAGTATCCAACGCTAACCATATTCCCAGTGCTAGCCCCAGCCCAGGTCCCTCCACTGGCCTGGTTCTCGACCCCAGTCCAGGATCCTCCAATGGCCACTTCCCCAGCCCAGGACACCCCTGTAGCCTGGCACCCAGCCCAAGATGCCTCACTGGCCTGACCCACAGCCCAGGACCCTGCAACGGCCTGGTTCCCAGAGACAACCCAAGTGCCCCCACTGGCCTGGTTCTCAACCCCAGCCCAGGACCCCTCACTAGCCTGACTTGCAACCCAGAGCCCTCCACTGGCCTGGTCCCCAGCTCCCGCCCAGGACCCAACACTGACTTCATTTTCAGCCCTAGCCCCAGCCCAGGACTTAACACTAGCTTCATCACAAGCCACGGCCCAGGACCTAATAATGCCGGCCTTATCACTAGCCCCACTCCAGGACCCAATCCTGGCTTCATTCTCATCGTCAGCCCAGGACACACTATTCTCCCAGTCTCCATCCATGGCCTGAAACCTAAACTTGATCCACCGCTCAGCAGCAATCCAATCCTCGACACCAATCCCATTCCAATAGTAGTCGTGAACGCTAGGCTGAGTCTTCCTGCAGGCCTGAGCGCCTGCCCCACCCTCACTCTCAGAAGTAGCTACAGCCTCCACTTGGGGTTTCGCATGAAGCTCATCAGCTGCTGTGACTTCTGCCCCAGAACTGGCCATAGTCTTGTCTCTTGCCCCAAGCATGGCCTCATCCTGGGAACTGGCCATAGCCTGGAACTGAGCAGAGCCCCTTGTACCTGCCCTGGCCCCTGCTTTAGGTGCAGCATTGGAATTACTCCTGATCTTATTCCTGGCACCAAGCAAGGACTCACCCTGAGAATTAGCCACAGTTTGGGTCTGGGCAGAACCTGCTGTACCTGCCCCAGCCTCTGCCTTAGGCACAGCATTGGGATTGCCCCTGACCTTATTCCTGGCACCAAGCAGGTTCTCACTCTTGGAACTGACCACAACATGGAGCTGGGCAGGGCCTATTGTGTCTGCCCCAGGCTCAGACTTAGGCACAGCACTGGGATTGCCCCTGACCTTACTTCTGGCACCAGGCAAGGCCTCACTCTGGATATTGGTCATGACCTGGGACTGGGAAAAGCCGGTTGTCCCTGCCCCAGCCTCTGCCTTAGACATAGGGTTGCTCTTGACCTTACTCCTGGCACCAGCCAAGGCTTCACCTTGAGAACCGGCTGCAACCTGAGGCTGAGCAGAGCTTGTAGTACTTTTTCCAGCCTCTGCCTTGGACACAGAATTGGGATTATCTTTAACCTTATTCTTGGCACTAGGTAAGGCCTTACCCTGGGAATTAGCTGTAGCCTGAGGCTGGGCGGAGCCCATGGTATCTGGCCTAGCCCCTGCCTTAGGTACAGCATTGCGGTTGCTCCTGACTTTATTCTTGACAGTAGGCAAAGCCTCATTCTGGGAACTGGCCACAGCCTGAGGCTGAGCAGAGCCCACTGCATCTAGCCCAGCCCCTGTGTTAGACACAGCACTGGAATTGCCCCTGACCTTGCTCCTGGCACCAGGCAAGGTCTCACCTTGGGAATGAAGCACAACCTGGGGCTGGGCAAAACCCATTGTACCCACCCCAGCCTCTGCCTTAGGCACAGCATTGGGATTGCCTTTGAACTTATTCCTGGCACCAGGCAAGATCTCACTCTGGGAACTGGCCACAGCCTGTGGCTGAGCAGAGCCCACTATACTTGCCCCAGTCTCCACCTTAGACATAGCATTGAGATTGACATTGCCCTTGACCTTACTCCTGGCGCCAAGTGAGGCCTCACCCTGGGAATTAGCCACAACCTGCAGCTGGGCAGAACCTGTGGCATCTGCCCCTGGCCCTGCCTTAGACATAACACTGGAATTTTCCTTGACCTTATTCTTAGAACCAGGCAAGGGCTCACCCTGGGAACTGCTCACTGACTGAGGCTGGGCAGAGCCTGTTATACCTTCCTCCGTCCCTGCCTTAGGCACAGCATTGGGGTTGCCCCTGACTCTATTCTTGGCACCAAGCAAAGCTTCACCCTGGGAATTGGCCACAGCCTGAGACTGACTGCACGCCCTCTGGTCTGCCTTGGCCCCTGCTTTAGAAATGCCATTAGAATCCCCTCTACCATCAACCTTGGAGTCAGGCAAGGCCTCAGCTTGGGTCTTGATCCCAGCCTGAGGCTGTGCACAGTTTTTCACGTCTGTCTCAATCCCTGCCTTACATTTGGTTTTGGTTTTGGCTTTTCCTCTACTGCCTTTACCTCTAGTACTGGGTAAGGCTTCACCCTGGTTCGGAGTTGTAGTCTGAGTGCCTTCCTTAGACATGGTGCTGACATTGGTCACAGATTGAGGCTGTGTACAAGATACCATGACTGGCGCAGCCCCTGCCTTATCCATGACATTGGCATTAGCTCTATTCTTATCCTTGGCATCAGGCAAGGCCTCAGTTTGGGAATTGGCCTTCACGTTGGTCTTGGCCCCTGCTTTAGCACTGGCATTTGGGTTACTTCTACTCTTAGCCTTGGCATCAGGCACAGCCTCAGCCAGGGCACTGGCTATAGCTTGAGGCTGAGCAGTAGCCCTCACGTCAGCTCCAGGCATGGCCTTAGATTCAACACTGCTGTTTCCCTTGTCATCAACCCTGGAGCCAATCCCCACCTCAGCGTGTTTCTTGAACACAGTCTGAGGTTGTACACAAGCTCTCATATCTGCCCCTGCGCCTGCCTTCCATGTCACATTGGTCTTACTCCCAGCATCAATCCTTGCCTCAGGCAAGACCTCAGCCTGGGCCTTGGCAACAATTTGAGGCTGAGCACAAGCCCTTGCGTCTGCCCCAGCCCCTCCCCTGGATAGGGTTTTGAGATTTCCCTTGTCTTCAATCCCAGCACCAAGGGTGTCATCATCCTGGATCTTGGCCATAGCCTGAGACTGTGCACAGGACCGCATGTCCACTCCAGCTACTTCCCTGGATACGCCATTGGAATTTTCCCTAGCATCAGCTGTGGCACCAGACCTGGCCTCAGACTGAGTCTTCGCCACACCCACAGTCTCTTCTAGGGCTGTTGCCTTGGTCTCAGCCACGATTCCAGTCTTGTTCATGGCTCCCATCTTGGCCAATTCCCTGCTCACCGCCAAGGCCTCATTCTGTGTCATCATTACTCTGTTAGTATCTGTCTCCTTTTCAGCCAACGTACACATTTCAGCTTTGGTCTGCATTATTGCTTCTTTCTTGGCCTCTGCCTTGGCAGCCAGTGCCAAAGCCTTAGCCTTGGTCTGAGTCACTGCCTCTTTCCTGACTACTCTCCCAGCCTCAGTATCCGTTTGGGTCACTGCCTCTTTCACGGCCACTTCCCTGGCTTTCTCCTTGGCTTCGGTCAGAGTCTCTGCCTCTGTCAGAACCAGTGTTCCAGCCGCTACTTCGGCCTCACATTGAGTCTCTGCCTCTGCCCCAGTCATTGCTTTGGCCTGAGTGTTGACTTTGGGACCTGGTATATCAGTGGCCTTGGTGTCTACTTCAGTCCCAGATCCACCTCCTGCTCCAGTTTCTGCTCCGGTCTCGGCTTTCGGTCTAGCCTCAATCTCTGTCCCAGCCATGGCTTCACACACGGCCAAGGTCTGGTTCTGTACCCCGACCACGGTCTCTGTCTTGACTCGAGACCCATTTCGGTCAAGTCTCCTGACACTCTGGGCTCTTCCCTTGGTTAATTTGTAAATGTAGTAGCAGGTGCCAGCCCAGATCACCAGTCCTGCAGTCACCCAGCCCACTTCCTGAACACGGCCCATGTAATCACCCCTGCTGAAGACACCAAGGTACAGAGGGGCTCACTCGGACTGGGGAAAGAGGGTGGCAGGTCTGGGTGTAGGCCTGTGAGGGTGCTGGTCTTCAGTCACTCAAAGGCCACCACAGCTGCCACTGGAGGTAGACCTAGAAGTGGAGGAAGGAAATGGACTAAAACTTCTCTTCTAAATCTATTGCATCACACAGAAAGATACACAGAGGGATGGCAAAGGGTAGATATTATGCGCTTGGTAGAAGACTATGATTAGCAAGCTTTCCACCCTTTGTATTTCATCCTTTCCCCACCATCCCCAGTGCCCAACAATTTCCCCCCATGGTGCTTCCATACACATTACCATACACCAGATAAACAGTGAGAAGGAAGGTGGGAGGGCTGGTGATGAGTGGGAGAGAGAGAGAAAGCCTCAGATGTTGGTTTTTACTGGCCCTAGACCTACTCTGGCCACCATTCCCACAGGTCCCCACCCTCATACCAACCTTTAATGATCCAATGATTCCTCCTCTTTCCTTCTCTTGCTTGGTGATATACTCTAAAGTAGATACATAAACTCATGAGATCTGTGGACCTAGAGACAGACAGACAGACAGATGGAGGGACAGGTGGGAGTGTAGATTCTGTTCTTGATGGGACAAGCATCTAGTTAGTCTCCCCGCCACTGACCCGACTCCCCCAGGCATGATCTCACTCTTTTCCCTGGACCAGAATGAAGATGAGAGTGAGGGATAAGTGGTAGGCATGGGGAGAGAGGTGACTGAGAAAAGAAGAGGTTAGGGATCCTACAGACTGAACACTGGCCCTTACTGCATCCAGACTGGTCTCCATCAAACCACCTTGGAGGTCTACCCAGGCAGGCCCCACCCTCTTACCAGTCTACACTGATCAGGGGCAATGTCCTCCTTGGTTCTTTGCCTCTGATGACCTCACGCACTACAGCAGACGTGCAGGCAGATCTATGGACATGAAACAACAAAGAGGCAATAATGGAGACCAAGTCCTTTGTAGAACACACAAGCACCCCCAGTGCCTGCCTTGCCAGAACCCGGGGCCACTTTAGTAATGTGTCTCATCTCAAGTCTTCTGTCAATCACACTCTGGCCCATACTTACCCCAGTATTCTCAGAATTCCCCACACCACAATGGATAGAGGGTGTGGCAGCACTATGCACAGTCAGCAGTGTGAGAGGCAGGTGTGCCCTGCAATGAGACCTCCTCCTGTCTCAGCCACCTGCTATGCCCACCCTCATTTGTCATGCTCAGGCACTGCCCACCTTCACACCAGCCTCCACGGTTCCAGGGCACTCTCCCCCCTTTTCCATTGCTTCCAGGAGTAACCAACCCTGCTGTAGGCCTATGGAAGACCTAGGAACAGAGAGAGAAAAGGAGAAGGTGAGTGTTGAGTGCTTGTGACATCCCAGCAATCTAAGGCATGGGTCCCCATACATGTCCGTCTGGATTCAGACACCCATTTCCTGGCAGGCAGAACCCAGGCCTTCCCCAGCACTGAGCCAGGCAAGACAGAAATGGGAGACAGGAAAAGGAAAATGCGAGAGACAGGGCAAGTTATTTTTAAACCATCCATACAGAGTTCTAAGGCTTCCCTCCCGCAAAAGTTCATCAGTATTATTGTGAAGTACAAATAAAAGCATCTATAGGAAAGTTTGCTGTCTTTATTGATCTTCAGCCTACAATTTAAAAGCCCTAAGCCTTGCAAGTGAACACAGTTTAGGGAAAGTTTCCTAGCTACGCCACCCCACCCCCCACCCCAATCCAGCAGTGGGAGCGCCTAAGTTCCAGTGGGAGAATTCATACACGACTTGGAGGGTTCACACACACAGCCGGCGCTCCCACTCACCTCCAGGGATCCTGTGCGGCTTTCTCCTCCCCTTCGTCCCTCGCCTCAGCCACAAGCAGTGCCACCCCGAACTATTGTCCAACAGACTGGAGAGAGAGTGGAGGCGCTGAGTACCGGCCAGCCGTCAGGCCACCCCATCCCGCTACTCGCTGGCCTTCTGGGACTCAGGACCCGGTTGTCAAACGTCCCTCCTGTCATTCAACACACCACCCCTGCCAAACCCGCCGTCCACTCACTCAGGCCCACCATTTTCTCTGCAAACGCCACCGTGGCGCGCCTCTTGCACTGAAACGAGCAGGAAGGGAGCGGCTATGTGGGGTCAGAGGATGTGCATCTCAATCGGCATTTCCTCCCGGAGACACTCTCCCCACAAGCCGCCCTGTCAAAGCCCACGGCTCCCCCAGCACAGATGTAGGCGGGGGCAGGGGGCACGGGAGACTCAGAGGCGAACTTGAGCCAGCACAGACCTCCCCCCAAACCCCGCACCCGTCGCCGGGCCCGCGAGCCGCTGCCGCCCTGGCCGCCGGGGCCCTCACCTGCTCCGCTCTGCCCGGGCCCGATGCCAGCCCGCCGAGCGCAGGGCAGCGGGGAGCTGGTAGCCAGACGCGAGTGACGACTGCACCCGAGGCTGCGTCCCTCTGCAGCTCGGGGTCACGTGACGGCCGCGCGTCACCGCCGCGCTCGCCCCCCCCTCGCTACCCCCTGCCGGACGGCGGGCGGTCCACAGGATCCCCCCTCCGCGCCCACGGCCGCCCCTTCCGTCCCTCGGTGCTCTGTGCCCCGGCGCCACGCACCGCCCTGTCACTCATCTCCGGCCTCTCCAATCTGAGGGCCCGCAAGTGGCATCACCGCCCTGCGGTTGGAGTGTGCCTCGCTCGGGTTACTAGGGAAGGTCTGTAGCCCCCTCCCACGCCCAGGCCTTACTGTGGCCTTTTCTGCTTTTTCTTTGAGGAATCCTTTCTTGCCTTCTTAGCCTTGAAGCTTAACACATCCTACCCGGTCACTCTACAACCTGTCCTCTCTGAGCATAGCTCCAAAGAGGGCGTCAGGAAGGAAAACAGAGAGGGCGACAAGAGCCTTAACTTTCTTCTATAGGTTCTATTTTTTTTTTTACATCACACGTTTTTTGTAATCGAGAAATACAGTAGAGCCCTTTGCATGTAACATCAACAACATTCACATTGTAGAAATAACAGAAGATTCATTTGTTTACATCGTTTTGGGTCACATTTAAAGCATGTTTTCTAGTTGTTGTAAACTCCTTCCCAGCTTTCAAACCAGACTAGTAATTCTTGACATTTTAAATACAAAACGTTCCTGAACAAAACCAGCACGCTTTCAACATGATCTATAAATGAGTCTTTGCAAATATAGTCAGTTTTCTCGTCTTGACAGTTTGACCCAGGGGATTTATAGCTTTTTGAAGTTCTGGATGAACTTATGGGTTTCCTGTCAGGTGTCAGAGAGCTTCTTCAGAGAACATTCCTGAATGTTTAATGAAGACCCAACTCCTGATGAACCCACTGCCTTAGAAACCAGTGACTGCAGATACACCTGTTTTCCACCCAGGGACCTACATTTGGATTTTACATAAGCCTGTAGTTAACTGAACCTCGTCACATCCATGACAGCATCAACTGCTGTTGTATGGTTGAAAGGGAGGCTCAGCAGGTGGAATGGTCATTCCATGATGGCACCGGATGGGGGAGGGGGAGGCACTCTCCCCAGTGTCTGCCCTCCCTGCCCTGTGTCAGCCAGGCGGTGGGGAGTGCTCAGCACTTCCGTGCAGACGGTGCTGAGGGTCTGGGGGTGACCGGGCGTCCTACAACATCCCTGACGTCCGCGCCACTTTCTCTTCACCAGTGGGAGGACGAGGGCCCGGACCCCAAGCAGTGGCCAGGAGAAAGGGACCTTTTCATCTCGTGCCTTTGGTTACAGCTGCACGGCACCGGCCGGCTGTACAAGCCCCTCCGAAGAATGCCCAGAACTCAGCGCCAAAGTATGCAGAAGTCAGTCCCCAGACATCCACCTGTCCCCGCGGGGAAGTCAGACTCTAAATATAGCCCCTCCAGGCAGCCTCCTTCTCAGAACACTGAAATGTGACACCCCAGCTGGAGGGCCCCTGAGAGGAGCCCCCCGCTGTGTGGAGGCGGCCCCTTCAGCGCCTGAGCCGGCAGCTCCTAGTACCATCCTGCTTTTCTAATGGCTTCTCACAACTCAGTTGCCAGCAACAAGCAAAGTTTCTCCATCAGAGGAAAAGATTGATGACTCAAAAATATAGAGCTTTTTTTTAAAAAAAAAATTCAGTATCAAAGGGCTAACGTGTAATCACTTTATCACTAATGAAATGATAAACAACACAATAGAAAAACTGTGCCAGGGCCAGCACTGTGGCATAGCAGCTAAGCCACCACTTGCAGTGCCAGCATCCCATATAGGCACCAGTTCGTGTCCCAGCTGCTCCACTTCCCATCCAGCTCTCTGCTATGGCCTGGGAAAGCAGTAGAAGATGGCCCAACTCCTTGGGCCCCTGCACCCGGCTGGGAGACCTGGAGGAGTCTCCTGGCTTCAGATGGGCGCAGCTCCAGGTGTTGCGGCCATTTAGGGAGTGAACCAGCAGATGGAAGATCACACACACTCTCTCTCTCTGTGTCTGCCTCTCCTTCTCTCTGTGTGTAACTTTGACATTCAAATAAATAAATAAACCTTTTAAAAAAGAAAAACTGTGCCAAAGAATAGATTTATTCCCAGAAAAGGAATAAAAGTGATGGCCAAACATATGAAAAGATGCTCAACTTCAAAGAAATGCAAGTCAAAGCCACTACGTATTATGTTTCAGCCATGAGTTTGTCAAAATTTAGGAATTTGATATTATTGACTGGTTTGTGGGGAAATGGGGATTCTGTTCGAGGCAGATATCCTGATACAATCTTTCCTTGGACGGCAAATCTTTGACCTAGAAATTCTCCTGCTTGGAATTTAACCAATGAACATACTTACAGTTTTCAGGATATTTGTTGCAGTGCTTGTAAAGGTTAAAAAAAAAAAACCTGAAGTTACACAAAGTGGTCATCAATAGGGGAGAGAGTTAATAAACTGTCTTAGATTTGTACAGTGTTGGCCAGCGCTGTGGCTCACTAGGCTAATCCTCCACCTGCAGCGCCAGCACCCCGGGTTCTAGTTCTGGTTGGGGCGCCAGATTCTGTCCCGGTTGCTCCTCTTCCAGTCCAGCTCTCTACTGTGGCCCTGGAGTGCAGTGGATGATGGCCCAAGTGCTTGGGCCCTGCACCCCATGGGAGACCAGGAGGAAGCACCTGGCTTCTGGCTTTGGATCGGCACAGCGCCGGCCGTAGCAGCCACTTGGGGGGTGAACCAATGGAAGGAAGACCTTTCTCTCTGTCTCTCTCTCTCACTGTCCACTCTGCCTGTCAAAAAAAAAAAAAGATTTATACAGTGTTACAGATAAAAAGGAAGAGTTAGATATTTATCCTTATGGAAAGACAATTAGGATATTGCATTATTTTGCTGCTTTTATTCTATACTTATATGCGAATTCTAGTGTAAGAGTCAAACCAAGAAAAAACACTAACACTTGCACCACTTCAGCTCCACTGAGCTCATCCAAATCGCAATGCTCTCCCCCATTTTTATAAGGCTGGTGTGTAAAATCCTTTTCTACACATTATATACACATAGATGTCTTATTCAAATATATTAATGGAATCATAATTAACATAGTGTTTTGCAATTTTTATCCATTTAAGATTATATTTTAGACAGTTACACATGCTACTTCTTTCTTTTTAACTACTGCAAACTATTCCATGGTTTGGTTATGCTACTGTTTATTTAAACATCCCTCCCTCACTGATGACATACAACTGTTCTAGATCTGAGGCTAATAAAAACAAGACTGCAATTAACAACCTGGTACACACAGCTTTGAACACTGGTGGAAGAATTTCTAGGATATCCTATTATAAATAAAATTGTTCAGTTAAAGGAAATGTGACTTTAAACATTTGATACTGCCAAAAGAAGGATGTGAGATTTTTTTTTATAGTCAATGGATTTGTCACCAAACTGGCCTCCCACAAGCCTAGGCCAATTTACACCCCCGGAAAGCTCATGACAACACCTATTTCCCCACCTGGTCATGCACATAATGTATTGGGAGTTAGTGCCAGGATAAGGGGCAAATAAAGTATCTGACTGTCCATTCAAATGCATTTTCCTAAATATATATTATCTTGACCATCATTTCAGATGCTTATCGGTTGTTTGCATTTCTTCTCTGAGAATTAGTTGTTCATATCCATTGAGTATTTTTCTGCTCAATTGTATTTTTTCACTGATTTGTACTTTCTGTATGTCAATTATTTTTCTATTATATAGGTAGCATATGTATTGTCCCAATCTGCCACTAACATCTTACTTTATGGTATTTTTTTGAGATTCAGAATTTTTATATTTTAATATGGTCAAATCCAGTGGTTTCTGGGTTATCACGCACACACACACACATACACAGATAGTTCCAAAAGTTCATGGAAGGAGAATTAAAAAGTTCATTTGGTACAAAAAATTTTGAAATCCATGCATTTTCCTTTATAATATGTATTTTCCATGGATTTTTGAAGATGCCTCATATGCATGATTTTCAAAATTTTATTGTGCCAAAATGAACTTATTTTTGTAAAATTTATTTGACAGATAGTTAGTCAGTGAGAGAGACAGAGAGAAAGGTCTTCCTTCTGTTGGTTCCCCACCCCCCAAATGGCTGCCATGGCTGGAGGTATGCTGATCCGAAGCCAGGAGCCAGGTGCTTCCTCCTGATCTCCCATGTGGGTGCAGGGCCCAAGCACTTGGGCCATCCTCCGCTGCCTTCCTGGACCACAACAGAGAGCTGGACTGGAAGAGGAGCAGCCGGGACTAGAACCCGGCGCCCATATGAGCCGCGGCACTGGCCAGCAAAAATAAACTTATTTTTCCTAAGAGAATTTTATAAAAAAAAAAAAAAAACTAAGAATTTTGTGATTTGGTATTTAAAAAAAAAAAACATTTGTTCCATTTATTTGAAAGACAGAGTGCCAGAGAGAGAAAAACAGATCTTCCATCTACTGGTTTATTCCCCCAAATAGCCATAACAGCCGGGGTGGGCCAGGCCAAAGTCAGGAGCCTGGGACTCCATCTGGGTCTGCCACACATGGGTGGTAGGGAGCCAAGTACTTGAGCCATATTCTGCTGCTTTCCCAGGTGGATTAGCAGTGAGCTGGTTTGGAAGCAGAACAGCCAGCATGCAAACAAGTGTTTCAATACGGGATGCTGCTGTTGAAAGTAGTGGCTTAACCCACTGCACCACAACACCAACCCCAATAAACTTATTTTTAAATTCTGTTTTCCATGAAATTGTTGAAATTCCCTTATGTATCTGGTGACAATGCACACACACACACACACACATATATATATATAGCCAAATATCAGTGTCACTTATATAGCAATCCATTATCCCCCAACTAATATAAAAAGCTGACTTATGTTAAATTCTCATTTATACTCGGGTATGTTTCATGGATTGACTTTTCAATATCACATTTTTAATTTGTGTAGCTTTATAGCAGGTTTTGTTATAATTGCCCTAATTTTGAAAAAACATATATTATTATTGTATGGTTTTTTCCAGATTTTATGCCTAGACTCACCTTCAGCAGAAAAGAGGAACTGGCTTTGAAATACTGCCACCCTCCAATAACCATGTTGATTACACAAAGACTTCTCTAAACGCGCGTTGCTCCCCATAT